ATATATATATATATATATATATATTATTTATTAATTATATTATATTATATTATATTTATTATATTATATGCCATGTTGGTCCAACCTTACCTGTTCTCCACTTTCTCCTTCTCCTTCTCCTTCAGAGTCTTCTGATCTTGAGGTGGATCTGGCTTTTGAAGCAGGAAGCCAATCTTATGCTTTATGTCTTTGGCACTGTTGGAGAAAACATATAATCAAATTAATCTTTTGGCTTTAGAGAATCAGATACGTAAGCAATTATGAAAAAACGAAAGCTGGTTTTGTGGAACCTTTCAAAGTAGTTTATTTTCAGTTAAATAGCTCTCAAACGACTGCTTCTAATGTATCACAGGCATAAAAAAATCAACCCCAATTCCCATTACTCAAAGCAAATTGTGTTATCTTGATACCCAAACAACTACTTTGCTCTTAGTCCAGTTCAGCGTATACAGAGTATGAAATCATATATTGTCTTAAACATTTAACTAAAAATAAGAATATCGCTAATCATTTCCAATGAGGTAGTTCATACCTTTTCAAGCATGTTGCTGGGAGGGCAGCGAGCCCTTTACACATGGTGCTGGTGCCTAATACAAATCCAACGCTAGAGAAAAAGAGTCTTGAATGTCACAACGCAGGTCCTCACAATCTCAATGCAGTCTCCTCCTACAACTGTCCTTTTATACAGCCCCAGCCCTCACAACACAAGAGCCAGCCAATCACAGCAGAGGCACAAACAAAGCAGATACAAAACCAAGGTAATTTCCAAAGATTATTCAAGGAAAGAAGTCACATAATAAGCATGTGACAGAGTTTGTGTGGTGTACTTTCTCATCACGTTTTGCATACTTTATTTGCTTTTGGACTTTTTTTCATGTGCATGTGTGCAATAAATGATAAAATAAAATAAAATTGAGCTTAGTAAAGGGACTTGTCAGGTTTGATTTCTTGCATAAAGAAGTTAACTATAATTTATATAGCTATAAATGTACTTAGCCTCATATAATGCATGTATAGTAGTATGTAATGCCCTGAAGAAATTAATCTGTGGCAAGAAATAAATGTTTCACATTAGGACTACTACAAGTGGAAATAAAGCTTTGTTCAAAGCAACTGAACATTTTTTTCTGTCCAAGTAATAAAATAAACTTAACTAAACCTTAAAGGTTTAGGTTTAACTTAACTTAAAGGTTCACATTAAACTCAATAATCAGTTTGCATCTGAAAGTATGAAAGTATAAGTGATTCAGTCCCATTTCATCTCATGCCTCACATACTAACTTCATCCACAAAACTTGTTTAAAAACACATCTCTTCTCACCCTATCCATTGCAATCTTTTGACACATCCATGCAAAGTATTGAACCAGTCCTATTAATAGTTCTGGTTAGTCAGATGCCTGGAGAGATCTAAAGACAAACTTCTGACATCAGAACCAAAACAAAAACGAAGCACGTCTATCAGTTCTAGTTCATTCAACTGCATAAACTATAGGCCATATAAGGTACGTATAAATGAACAATAGTTTAAACCAGGGCAGAGTGAGAATGTGATAACCAAACTCAAATGAGGTCAAATTCAGGGGCAAAGTCACCTCCACCTTGTATTAGCCCACACTTTTCTCCTTATCATAAGTTACCTGGTTCCAGATGTGGGGATGTGACTCAAAGCATGTGCGTCTTTCAGCTCCATTAAGCTTTAACTATACGGCAGATATTGGAAACTTCAGAGGATCTTTGCTGATTACACATTCAGTGCAGACTCCTGCAGATAAATGATTACTAGATTTCCAGATTAATCTGTAAACAGAAACCACTTTCATAGCGAACCACAAAAGAAGCAAAATTACTACTACTGCAACTAAATAATAAATACGATTTATTTTATTTTTTTTAAACCATTATTTGGGGAAGTTGTATTCATATAAAATATATTTTTATTATAATAATAATAATTATTATTATTCACACAGAATTATATTGTTTATTCAGTGCATAGCATATGGTGGAGTTTTGACATCTCCTAACTGCCTGCCAAAAAAATCAGACTGAATTGCTGTGTTTTTGATTAGCATGTTGGAATAGAGCTAATGTTACATACCTTTGACTGTGTCTTGAGGCTGCATGTGTAAAAGCTGGATATGTGCCTAGTACAGAATGTGCAAGAACAAAACTACAAAACAGGGCAATTTCTGAAAATTGTCATCTGATGGTAGCGTTCACACGGGCATATGGGCTGATTATGCAGACTTTTTTGAGATTGTAGCCCTGACTTCTATCTTTTCTCCTGCAATTAATTTGTCAGGGCCTTGTCGCGACTATGATTGTTACCTTAATATTCCAAGCTCAGTAGAATTTGAATCAACAGCCTTTGTGGCATACAGCAATGCTGATTACAAAATAAATGAATAAAAATAAAAAATCATGGACGCATCCATTGTTTTCATTAAAAAAACGTATTAATAAAAATAATAATTAGGTGAATGGTCAAAGGGGGAAACAAGTGAATGGTTTTGGGGTGAAGAAATGTGAATATTATATATTTTTTAAAGCACTTACATTAATCTAAGACGAGCAGTAAAATCATTGTTTTGACAGTCATTTTAGGGTTTATGATGCTTTCTTGGTAAAAAATTGGATAAATAAAGTTGTACATAATATTACACAGAAAAAGTTAGCAAAGGACTCTAAAATTGTCAACATGCATCTTGTTTTTGTGGCTATACTTTTAAAACATTAAGCATTTTAATGTTTATAAATTGCACCTATTCGCTTCCATTGTAACAGCCTCATGTAACCTAGACTTTTGCTTTTTTCCAATAATTTTCTAAATATAATCAAGATAATCAACACTATGCCACAAGGGCTGGCAACTGACCTTAACACGTACCAAAATCAGAAAATTAATTTAAACAAGGAACCACTGAATACTTATTGTGTGCAATGTTTACACTCAATTTGAAGTGGTTTGGCCGGGAGTCAACCCATGACTCAATTCACATGAACTTCTGAGTTCAAACTTCAGTTGATGCAGATCAGGCGTATTGATCAAAGAACCAGACTCCAGATGAGAAACAAGCCTGTGAGGTGAGATCACCCCTCTTGGCTCCACAGTGTTTAATGTCGCTCTATATCTCAGTATCAAATCATGGGTAAAAAAAAAAATAGAATGGTTCACCTCAGAGTAATGTCATATCAAATCAGTTCCAGCTGCTACGTTTACACAGGAAATGGAGTCATGGTGGCCTTAGATTGTCCAGGTCATTTTTCACCATAAAACATTCATAAAAAGAGGAAACAGGATTATGATTCATCAGGGTCAATGAGACAAATCACCCAAAAAAATTAAAATAAATAATTGGTACAGTAACAAAATAAAAAAAAGAATTGTTCACTTGCTCCATTCCAAAATATTGTAAGAAAAAACACAACACACAAATATGATTCCACACAAATACTACACTCTAAAATAGGGACAAACCCAGCAATTGGGCTGTTTTGACCCAGCGGTTTGGTTAAATGTTTAACCCAACCTTCTGGGTAGTGACCCAACCGCTGGGCCAAAACAACCCAATAGCTGGGTTTGTCCCTATTTTACCCAGCACTCGGTTGTATTTAACCCAGCATTTTTTAGAGTATAGTATTTGTGTGGAATCATATTTGTGTGTTGTGTTTTTTCTTACAATATCATGTCACTAGCTTAGCAACATGCTAACAACAAACTCTATCAAAATGTATTGCGATTATCAGAATCACAGTCTATCACAGTTTATTGTGATTAGCAAAATTTGCATGGCTTGCTGAGTTCCTGCCTATGAAGAGTGTTCTAGATTGTAAATTCCATGTTGATGCCTTAAGGTGCAGTCACATTTACCATTGTGCATTCATTTGCATTAACAAAACTCAAAATGCGTCAACCTTATGCAAAATTCCAGATCGCATAGATTCCTTTTGAAATGACTTTTGCCCATGAGTTTTAGCCCAAAAAGATTTTGCAACATGTTCAAGTTGGCGAATGACCAACAGAAAGCTGCTTGGTTTGAAAGTGACGTCTGTGTGAGTTGTGCTTCATGCATCGCTATTGACAATAGACAATGGATCTTTTTTCTCCACAAAATTTCGCCAACATTTTGAAAATGTTACTGAACATTTAGAAGTCACCTGTCTATGTAGGAAGCTTAGTTTTTTGAAAAGCACTTAGTGCAACAGTGCAACTGTGTTCCCACTTGAATCACATCCTCCTTTGTTATGCTAGAGTTAATCCATCAGCACTGCTTTTCCGCACTACCTTCAGTACACATTTCTGCTTGAATGAGAGGAAGGTGCTATTCGGGAGTTTAGACTTTTCGGCCTCAGATAAACTGGGAGAGAGAAAAACACAGTGCTCAACATTCAATCAAAGTCTGACTGAACAAGTTCAGTAAAATGCTGCCATGGCCAGACATCATAACAGTCGTGTCAGTCAAAGAAATTCATTGAGCAGTCTCAAATGTTCTGGCTTCTCAGATTCTTCTGTATTTACACAGTGTATCCAAGCCACATTTTTGGTCACTTCTGTAGATTGGACATTTTTGTTGCAAAAGTAGCTTTAGAACGATTTTCAATAATAAAGAAAACTGTAATAATTTTTCCTATCACTTGTCTATGTAGGAAGCTTAGTTTTTTGAAAAGCACTTAGTGCAACAGTGCAACTGTGTTCCCACTTGAATCACATCCTCCTTTGTTATGCTAGAGTTAATCCATCAGCGCTGCTTTTCCGCACTACCTTCAGTACACATTTCTGCTTGAATGAGAGGAAGGTGCTATTCGGGAGTTTAGACTTATCGGCCTCAGATAAACTGGGAGAGAGAAAAACACAGTGCTCAACATTCAATCAAAGTCTGACTGAACAAGTTCAGTAAAATGCTGCCATGGCCAGACATCATAACAGTCGTGTCAGTCAAAAAAATTCATTGAGCAGTCTCAAATGTTCTGGCTTCTCAGATTCTTCTGTATTTACACAGAGTATCCAAGCCACATTTTTGGTCACTTCTGTATATTGGACATTTTTGTTGCAAAAGTAGCTTTAGAACGATTTTCAATAATAAAGAAAACTGTAATAATTTTTCCTATCACTTATCAGATGTTAATTCCATATTACATCACACACACACACACACAAAACAGCAAAGACGTCATTCTATTCTCGCACTATGCGCTCAGTTATACGTAATGACAAAGCACTCGTGCCCCTTTGCTTTATGAAAACAGAAACTATTAATACTACAACACTTTTTTTTGTCATCATTGTTCAAAACCCACGTAACAGACTTTCTTCCTTGACATCTTTGAACACAAAAGGCACATTTTTAAAGAATATTTAATTTATTGATTCGTTCCCGAATCTGAGTGATTCGGTTCTCGAGTGACTCACTGATCGGGTTGCATAAAAATCTTCCATAATTGGAATGGAATATTGTCAGCGAATAATGACTTGGAATATAGAACATGAGTCATAGAGACTCATTTTATTATATTCATGATACTTTATGGTGATTTGGTGTGCTTTTTGAAGCCTGACAACCTCATTCACAAATAACAAACACAGAATTATTCAAAATATTTTTTCTGTTTCATGCTGGAAAGATTGGAATGACATGATGCTG